GGTCAGAGCAACTTCTTCCCATCAGCCTAATGACATTCTGAAGAGAAAAGAACACGAGAGCCATAAAGAAAGTAACAGGAGTATATTTACAGACATGAGGGGAGAGGAAGAGAGAGGGGGGAAAGAGAAAAGAAAAAAGAAGACAAATAATTTAAGAAATGAACAGTGAAAAAGAAAAGGAGAAAGCAAGAAGTAGGGAAACTGCTGGCGGAAGTGCCCCTGCAAGTCCTGCGGCTGTGCTGGGCCCTGATCCAGCCTCGCTCCGGACCATTGTTTCCCTGCCTGGCCCCCCAAGTCCAAGTTCATCTGGGTGTGACATCATGTCTGGTTGCTCAGGGAAACCAGACGGGCCAGACGTGACATTGGTTATGGGCTGGGAAGGGGAGCAAATCTCATTCCTGTTCTGCTCTGCTCCTTCATTCACCACCAGGGAGCAATGGAGGCTAGGAAGGAAAGACAGAACAAGCTGAAAGCTGTCTTATGTGGGACAGAAGGAATGGGGAAAAAACCATGTTGGACTTGAATGTTCCCTCCCCATGGTATTCAACTTTTCTTTGTTGCTCTAACCTTCATACCATCAAGATTTTCCCTTCTGGTTGTGACGCTGGCATGATTAAGATTGCCCTAAATAATATAACAACCCAGTCTTTTTATTCATTGTGCAACAAAATACAATTATTATTCAATCATTATAAGGTATTCTCTGCTGCACAGAAACTACAAATATGCAGGTTCTTCCTTCCTTCCTCCTTGCCCTGTCATTTTTTACTCTTCTGAGAGTGGTTGGTATGCTCTGCGAACAGGCATGCCAATGGCACTTAATGGCAACCACCCATAATATCACTGGTGCTGAGCAACACACTCCTTCTCTCATCCATGTAAGTTTGAAAAGAGGGTCACCTTCCCCCCCCCCAATTACATTGTGCATTCTCTAAGCAACTATCTCATAGCAGAACTAGTGTAGCCTATTAAAAAATCAGGAGAACAAACAGCATAGTTCTTCATTTCTTGGAAGCAATTTTATGGTTTGTGAACTATTCCTTCCTCCTCTAGATGTTATTCCTCTCCCATGTGTCTCTCAGGTTATATCAGTGATGGTGAACCTTTCTGGCACCAAGTGCCAAAAAGGGAGCACTTTGCGAGTGTGCTTGTCAGGGCCGCGACCAAGAAGAGGAGCTGTCCAGGAGTCATGCGCGCGCCGGATAAGGTATTTCCGATTTCCAGCATACAAGCAAATCTTCCGGTTACTGGCACGCACATGCACATGCCGATCAGCTGGCCAGCGCGCATGCTCACGCCAGAAAATGGAAGACCAGTTCTTCTGGTTTCTGGCACTGCCACGTGCACAAAGGCCAGTTAATCATCATGTGCACATGCACGCCAGAAGCCTGGAAGAGGACGGACGACAGCGCCCGTGCCAGGTGACATGGCTCCATGTGCCACTTCGGGCACACATGCCATAGGTTCACCATCACAGGGTTATATTGTTTCCCTTGTACAAGTACATCCCATGGAGAGAAAACATACAGTTAGGATTTCTAGTTGCAGTGTTTATATGTGACAAAAACAATACGTCATAAACTCAGTTTGCCTTTTAAACCACAAAAAACAAAACCCTCCTTTTGTTTGCTAAAGGATTGTATGAGTAATGGTGGAGCAAAGCTTCCTGGGCAGTCAGAAGTTGGTTTCAGGAATGGATTTCTGATCAAACTCTAACCTAGGAAATCTGAAAGCCGGTAAGTGATCTTCCAGTGCTCAGCACAGATGTCACCCTGAGTGGAATGGTGTTTTAGAGAAAGGTATAATCCAAATGGCTACACAATTCTAGACTTGGAATTGCCCACCCTTCATCCTCATTTTTGCCTCAGAGCAAGGTCCAAATTTATATTTCCAGTCATCATTCAGTGGAACTTAGAAAGGAACTTCTCTTGGACACAATAAGGATGTGACTTAAAGCTTTTGTGGCTGCTGATATCAACAAAGGGGCATGGCAATCAGATTTCTTCTTTGTTTGTTTTCAAATGATATTACTGTTTGGAATAACCTTTTACTATAGACTACTACCGCCATCTTCATCTCCATTTTTATCTCTATTTCACCTCCATGGAGGTTCTCTTGTATGTATGCAACTACTTTGCACAATAATTTAGAAGATCAGTTAGTTACTAGCCAACTGTCTCCAGCTTCTTATTATATGACTTTATAATTCCAGTGGGAGGTACCAAGAAACCAGCCAAATTATTTCCTTTTTACTCCCAGAAGGAGCTAAATTCATGGAAATGAGAGAAAACATAATAAACCAAAGTGTGTGGTGGGGAAGGAAGACTTTACAATTTGAAAGCAGGAGGCTTATTGAAGTGGGAGAATAACAGTGGGGCAAACAGGACCAGTGCAGCACAGTCCCAGGGTAACTCAGTTTTAATTTTTAAAATGTGCAAGCTTTTTTTCCAAAGGGAGGGGGGGAATAAACACAATATAGATTGGGACAATGTGGGACAAAGTCCACACACTTCAGTCATATGTGCATACTTAAGGAGCATGAATTCTGGTAAGATGAGTGGTTGTGGGTAGGGGGTCCCTCTGTATCCAGGAATTTGTCATCTTTGGTCTTAAGATGAGGTGGCACTATCACAGACAGTCCGAGTGCATAACCTGAGGGGCCTCTTGGACTCACGGCTCCTGCTAGAAGAACAGGTGGCAGCCATGGCTATGAGGGCCTTTGCTCAAAACTGTGTTGTGCACTAGTTATGCCCATACCTGGATAGGGAGACTGTCTGCTCATGCCCTGGTCATCTCCCATCTGAACTACTGCAATGTGCTCTAGATGGGGCTATTCTTGAAAAGTATCTGGAAGCTTCAGCTGATGCAGAATGCAGCCGCATGAGCTATATTGGGTGCTCAAAGAAGTAACATGTAACACTTTTGCTCTGCAAACTAATCAGGTGCCATTCTGCTTCCGGATCCAATTCAAGATGTTGATTATGATGTATAAAGTCCCACATGACATGGGGCCAAGCTACTTACAGAACCGGTTTCATCTCTCATTACATTGACCTATCCCATCAAGTCAGGCAGGGAAGGTATGCTGCAGACCTTGTCAGTTGAAGAAACTGGTGGGATCTAGGAAGAGAACCTTCTCTGCCGTTGTTCCTGTCCTATGGGATATTCTGCCTCTGAAGTGAGGCAGACCCCACTCTCCTAGCTTTGCAAAAAGGGGTTAAAACAAGGTTCTGCGGCCTTGCATGGGGAGCCAAAGGAGCACACAGTTGTGGAGTTAGTTGGTTACATAAGTTGCCTTTGTCAACTAATTTTTAACAGAGTTTAATTAGTCCTTAGAAATTAATTTAAATTTTTAATTCAAAAATTTTAATTAAAATTTTCATTTTTGTATACTGTTTTGATGTTTTGTTGTACATGAAAATAAACAAAACCCTAATGCTGTTAATGACTGAATGTATAGATTTGGAAATAGCATCTTCCAGGCATATAGATATATTGCTTGAATGCTTAGGAAGTATTGTGATGATATTATTAAACAAAGTTTAGCATAATGGAAATAAGTTGCATGGATGTCCATTTCATTCTTTTCTTGAGATAAACTGCATTTTTATTTCTACTTAGGGTAAACATAACTTGTTAATTATTTGAACTTGAACTACTTCTGTAGTCAACCTTAACTACTACTACTAAATTTATATCACAAGTCATGAGTATTTCTTTAAACAAATAATAGTTAACATTAATTGTCATTAATGGTGATGAAATTTATTCCAAACACCATGAGGAAAAGTGAAGAGCTGATCACATTCTGTTCTTGCCCATGCACTACAAGCTAAACTATGGTTTTGTATTATATGTGCGAGATGCCAAGTGATGATATATTCTTCCCAAAACATATTGAAATTGGAAAAACTATGGGTAACTATGGGTGATAATTATGATTAGTACACATATACAACCTTTCTATACTCTGTTTGCATAAAGAGAGTAAAATACATATTATGATCAATATGATTTTTTGCCATGTAAATATAGACTAAACATTCTGCATCAGTTTGAAAGCAGTAGCTTCAAATCTCTGTGTTCCTACAGTACCCACAGGAAAATTGAACTTATTTGTTTCTTGATTCTGCAAGGGAAAAATTAATTTCAGGGCTCTGCAGCTTTTCCTAAGTAGTAGAGAAGTGAAATTGACTGGTGTTTAGTCAATTTCTCTGTTCTATTTGGCAGGAAAGGAACAGCTGTAAAGCACTAAGTCACTGGACCCTTAGCAGACTTTTTTTTTTTTTTTTTGGTAGTGCCAAGTGGATATGAGGAGATTGTTGCTGCCACAGAATCTGAAGAGCTTGATGTAAATTTATTCTTGTCAGCATATCAAATTGGCATAAAGAAAGACAGTTGGTTTCTAAACTGCTTTTCAGGGTTGGAACATGAAAATAATAGCAGTGTGGAAGTCTCTGTGGAGTAGTCTTGAGCCATACTTCATTCCATTCCATGGTGAGAACAAATGAACAGTAAATACATCATATCTTCAGAGACAGTGACTTGCCCAAAGGCACCCAAAGAACATAGTTGAGCAGACTGATGGATCTTCCCCATTCCCCAGCCTGTCACTGAAATATATTCCACCTTGGGAATCTTTTCAAATTCCATCTTAGATTGAGACTCATAAGCCAAAGACTCTCTCTGAAACTCAGTTTCTTATATGAAAAATGAAGGCCATAATTTCTGAAACATGACTATCTTTCGACAATCTCCTAAAGATTCTGCTGTAAATTCTGGACTTTATGACACACCCCATGAGTAAATACTTAGATCCCTAACATTCAGTCCTAATTTTTATTCTGCAACTGCTCTCTCTCTTATTCATAGTTAGAAAAATTCTGAGGTGATCCACATCCATCCCTTCCACAGAACCATTCCCCTCCCCTTCCCACATAAGGCAAGGTACATTTGGGCTACTGTAGCACATATACCCCTATGAAGCTGGTTCCCCCTACCTGAGATTGCTGGGGGATGTTTAGAAAGTTGCCGTCCCGGGGTCCGATGCCGACAAACCGGTTGGCAGAGGAGGAGGAGCCTGGCGCTGAGAATGCTAGAGGGGAAAGAGATGTGAGGCCGTTAGGGCCACTAGGTGAGGCTGATGGCATTGATGGAAAAGGGTGGGCATGCAGGCCCGTCAGATGAGACTCAAGATAGCAAAATCCAAAGAAAAAAAAAAGGGCACCACCTTTTCCTCCCCAGAATACCGTCTTGTCAGTGAACACAAAAGAATGGAACAGCTAGCTCTTAGTTGTCAGTGGGGCTTCCTTTGAATGATGGTAAATACTTTTGTTTTTGTTTGTTTGTTTGAGATACAGGAATTTAAGGATATTGATAGAAAAAGCCAGCTTTACTACAGGCGTAATAACAACATCTTGATGGAAACTTCCATAAAATCATACATAATATCCCCTGTGCCTTTATTGGGGGGAATTGCAATATTTTATTATACAGGTTTGACTGAGTGAGATGAATACTGAGGAGAATCTGGCTTTTGTTCCATAAACCTCATTTCTCTTGGGCATATTATTTCTTTCTGGGTATAGATCCAAAGCCTTCATGTTGTGGCCTAGTTTTTTCTGCATCCCTGGAGGAGGCTGGGGGCTTCTATGTTATAACCGCTATTGGTAGACTCAGGCAGACCTCCTACCCATTTGTAGGAAAGATGGCATTCCAGAACATGACCATGTATGGGCCTGCAAGGAGATGGAGTCTCTAGGTCTGCATGCCTCTCCTGGGCACAGCACTGTGTGCCAGAAATAACTAAGCTCAGCTCTTTGGTATTTAGTTGGTGGCATAAGAAGGCAGAGCTCTAGATGAAACTACATAAGGGGTAGGGAATGGACATGCGAGGTTCCCTCACACCCAACCTCATCTCCGATTTGAAAACTTGTCTGGGGCTATGAAATATTGTAAATGTTATCTAGAGGTACTACAAACCTCATGGTAATATATACACATACACACTGGCAGGAGTACACAAAAACAGCCAAGTATGGCATTTCACTTTTACACTAAGCCTTTGATCACAGTAGTGCTCAACACTTAAAGCTGATTTCTCTACTGCCCAACCTGATAGGACATTGATGGGAAGGCAGAAGCTCTTGTTTGGTGAGTTTAAGACCTGGTTTATGGAGATGACTTCAGGATTTGGCTATAAGAATCAAATGGTTTTTACTAGCCTATAATCAATTTACATCACATACTCTCTGGTTCTCAATGGAACACTGGAAGCCTATGGACTAGATTTCTATTTGTTGACCTCCAGCTACCAAAAGAGATGAAGAGATGAGCTACACAATGAGTACGCCCACATGAGGGATCTGTTACTGTGCTGTTTCCAGGGTTATACTACTGGATAGAGGTTGAATTTTACTGGTCTCTGTTAAAAATGAACAAAATGGGATTATGTAAGAGAGATATTTTAGACCTTTTCCTACATATAAGGAGGTTTTTTTCAAGAAGGGAGAGCATTTAATAAATTTGAGACAAACAATTATTCTTATATATCTTCATCACTAACACCAACACCTTACTGGCAATCTGATATGGCTCAGAGCAGCATTAATACTTTATACTGGTCCCTGCTGATCATGCATATCAGTTCTTAATGAGAGCTGGGGTTGAGTTTCAAACTTAGAAGCAGCTGCAACACTCCATTTCCTTCTGAAACCTTTGTTAGCCACCTTGCGAGAGTAGGAAGATGGCAATCAGTACATAACATAGCTCCAGAATTTTCCTTTATGTCTACAGCTTGTCACCAACCCTTTCTTCTTATTCCCACCCCCTCCCATAAATTATCATAAATTTAATGAAGAGTATGAACAATGTGAGAGTGAGTAATGCCATGAGCACAGATGTAGAAAAGAAAAGAAAAAGAAAGGAGGGAAGGAGAAAAAGCAAAAAAGAAAATGATACTGTAGCCAATCCTTATCTCCAAAGGGACTCTTTGAAGCCAAGAAAGATGGTAATAATTACTTCATTGGAGATCTAAAATTTTTAACTGCCACCCCATTTTTAATCAATCTGGTAGGATTCCCATTTCTAGGATGGAGACAGGCTTCATATTGCATAATGCCACCACTCTTCACCAGGAGATACCTGCCCTTCTAAAATAGGGAACAGAAGTTCTAGATTTCTGATCTACCCACTCCTACTCAAATGTCTGGGTTCTATTTATCATCAAACATCAAGGCCATTTTCTGGAAGTTCTGTTTCCCAATGTCTCCTCCTTCTCCCTTCTGTCCATCAGATTACCCTTTCCTGAGAAAGCACAGACCACAATTTGGGGTGATGGGAGAAAGCTTGTTATGGATCTTAGTGAGAATTTATATTTGAAGCACCATAATATCCATAAACACAACCCTTCCTCACATTACAAAATTCAAATTTCTCTCAATATTGCTTATTCTCAGAATTACCTATGGTTTATTTTTCTCCCTTGAAAAAATCCCCAAATTTACCAAGAAGCCACCATGGCAACCAACGATATAATGAAAAAATAAAAAAATAAACGTGTTGGAGTTGGGCAGCTACTGCATCTTTAAACGCTGGGGAATGGGATGGAAGGTGTAAAGGGATAATGGCAGCTAAGGAAAGGGGTCAGATGTGGTGTTTAAACCTTAAAAATAAGCACAAAGCACAAGACTTGATGATGACAACATGGTGCCCCAAGCCCACCTTCTGAATCTGCCAGTTGCTTATAGCTTGCTTTTTTCCTCTCATTCCCATTTGTCTATATTCAATTCACCATTTTTTCCTTTCTTTTTTTCATTTGTGCCTCTTTTCTCCTGCATTTGTTACTGTGCACATTCTTCTTTGTTTTTCTTTTCATTGCCCATCTTTTAGTCTTGTTCCTCCTGCTCTCATTATTATTTCTGCCTTACTTGACATCTAGTGAGGGCCCTGGGGTGGGAAATGGAGACTAAGTTCCATTTTGCTTTGTGGTTTGGGTTACACTTGGGTCCACTTACAGGGTGACGTTGGTGTCGGCGCTCCGCCCTCTGGGTTAGTGCTGGTGGATTTTGTATCAGGCATTGGAAGGGGCACTGGTCTGGCCACAGGTGGAGGTGGCGGCAGCAAAAATGACCCCGTGACTTTGCCCTGGCCGCTACCGTTAGGCTGCGAACAACATAAATACAGTGATGCGTGAACGAGACAAGGCAACTTTAAAGATGCAGTATCTGCTGGCGGCTCTTGGGGCAGAGAAGTGGAGGGACTTTAATTTGATTTAAAATACCATTTTTCGCCCCCTTCTTTCTTCTTAAAATCATACTTTAGTTTTATATTTTCCCCTTACCTCCCTCAAACATTTCCCACATCAAACATTTCCCACATCCTCAATCTCTTCCTTTCAGATGCGTCTGTCCTATTTTCTTATTACAAGTCAGGCCTGAGTCATTATCAAGGGGTTGCCTTTGTTCCCACAAAACAGACAGGGCTGAACAATGACTACTTCATTGAGATAACAAACCAATGACTTCATGGAATTATTCATTATCTCTGAAAACTTCTTATTAATGTAAAAGCAACCGCTATTGTGAGGTATGGACTGTATTCTTCTGGTTAGATTGGCTGCATCCAAGACATGTCCCTCCTCCTAGTCTTTGTGGGTCTGCAGATTGCCTAATTGAATGAACCTATAGGAAAATATGTACGCACTGTCCACCTATAGCCTGAGCTATATATTCATTATCAATGTCTTTATTCTTTTTTCTCAGCAAAATGCCCACCATGGATCTAAAAAAAAAAGTATGAATCTAGTTCTTAGAAATGAGCACAGGATATTATGGTGGGTACCCAGATTTACTTGGATTCTGTAACATTTTACATATCTGTAAAATATGATTGCTTTTACTACTACTATTAATATCAAAATTTGAAAACAAACAAATGGAAGGAATCAAGAGTGGTACACCAATTGTTATTGGGGAACTATACCACAAGAACTTAGAAAGAATTTGAATTTCTGAAATTTGAAACAATTTCTGATATCTCATACAGCAGCAGCGATTGGAAGCTCAGAATTAGATACTGTCTTTACAATTCCCAAATTCTTGGGGAGAGCTTGAGTTTGAGACAAAGAAAATATGGCTGTGATATACAAATCAGTGGAATAACTTAAATTCAACTGTATCACAGAACTAATGAGTTTGGATTAGTAGAAAATATTTAATTTTGATTATTCAAAATTCTCATGCTAGAAGCTTTTGGGCAATTATTTTCTTGTATTGGTTCCTCCCTGCCATGTGCAGTCTATAGGAAGCAACAGTTTTTCTATTTGGATTCTGTAGCAAGCAAAATCCATGGAAAGGATATTACATTAATAATTAGGACTTTACAGACATGTGCAAGAATGTGGGGATTATTTTGTGATTTTAGAATTAGAATAGAATAGAGCTGGAAGGTCTTCTTGTCCAGCCTCCTGCTAAAGCAGGAGAACCTATACAATCTCAGACAAGTGACTGTCCAGTCTCTTCTTAAAAACCTCCAGTGGTGGAGCGCCCACAATTTCTGAAGGCAAACTGTGGGGGATTTAACCAGCTCCTGAACAGAGGTTCCCTTTGCCAAGAAGCCACAATTAATGTGTTCCCGTGATTTTTCTGCAATCAATCTACTTGCTCCTAGACTTGTTAGAGTTGCAGTTTGTAAACCATTGCCTTCCCAGGCTTGGTCAAAGTCCTCAGACGATTCAGAAGCAGAAATATCTAGATTTTTGATGGCAGTCCAATGCTCTACAAACCAGGAATCAACATAAAATTCAATCATTAGTTAATTCTAAGAATGACAATAAATAAAGTACCATAAGTCATCAACATCGAGTTCTACTAAAAACTCTACTGTTTGATCTCTGGAATTGCTTTATTCCTAGAGCAGTGAGTCAAGATAATTATCCTAAGTAATATGCTATGCTGGAGTAAACAACAAAGCATGGTAAGGAATCTTAATGAGTCTGTCATTTTTAGCTTAGATGGGCCTGTCTATGGCTGAAGGCTCTTCTCCTCAGACTTTAATGCCAGCTGATCTGCTTCCATATTAGCTTATTATCCTGCAATTGCCATTTTGGATTCATGTATTTCTTATGGGAAAACCATCAATATTATGGTCAGACTTCACTGAATTATTTTATGTGCTGTCCTCCTGAGGTTTTTTAAAGTACTACTTTGTAATTTTTGGAGGGAGTAATACTATAAAATACTTTTGCATCATCATCAAACTTTCCATTTTAGACAGGAAATTCACTGCTGAAGCTTTTCAGGCTGAGTGATTTTTAAAAAGCTGCTTGTTTGAAATTTCAGTTTATGTCATTGTATATCCTGCTCAATGAAACTGTAAACAAGTTATGAATAAGAAATTTCAGATCTGTGTATAGATCTGGGACTGGTTTCCCTGTTTTTCTTCTTCTTCTGGGTAGTGAAATATTTTACTATAACATAAAGGAAAGAAAAATCAAGGATCCAGGAATTCAGTACATTCATAATCTGGACAGGAAAAAAAGCTAATTAAAAAGGGCCAATTCATAACTGTTCTTTTAATCACATTGATCAGAAAACAATAGGCTAACAACTGCCACGAAAAAGAAACTTCTACAAGACATTTTGTAATAGGACTTACAGATGCATCAATATTTTAGAAAAATCCTGGCTATGTATTACAATAAAACAAAAACAGCAGCAAACAGTAATTTCTCATAGGATTTTAACCACTGACTTTCTTGCCCTCTAAAGAAATAGAGGCGATAGCTACTGTTCCCACGAAGCCACAGTTAACAAATTCCTCTGTTTCAACTGTGATCCATCAACTTGCTCCCCTGGATTTTTGCAATTTAGTTTTTATTCATTTATTACAATAATTTGTCCGCAGCCTACTTGTCAGGCTCAAGGTGGCTTACCATATTAAATGGTTTGTACACCACTGGCACTAAATTGCTTTAGGAATAGAAGCTACTGGGGTCTAATACTTTCATCCCTCATGGGGGGAAAGGTGTTAAAGATAAATAATGGTTCTCTTTCAAGACTCTTGTCAGCTCACAGAGGTTGGCTACAAAGGGATTATTGAGGAGGTATGCTTGTTTATAACATCAGAACCTTGAATTATTATCTATCAGGTCATGGGGGGGGGTGTTGCCTTTCAATAGGAGTGCTCAAACTGAGTCAAACATATTGTTGAGAGTATATTAAAAGCAATATTTAAGTACAATCCAATTTATTTAGGTAAGTTGGAATCAAAAGTGATTATAAAAAAATTACCCATGCCTCAACATTTAATATTTAAGTTTATTGATTTTCCTCTTTCTTTCCCAAAATATAAGTAAAGATCATAAACTTCAAAACTCTAGTGTGTTCTGAAAAATTCTCATTTCCTGGTTTATAAGTTCTTTTCCAGTGTTGCAAAGCCTAACATCTTTGGATCCTGCCATTCATGTCACTTTCACAAATGTCACAAAAATAAACATTCTAGAATGTGCTCAGTGCAACCCTCTGGGATTCTCTTTTGTTCAGGAGTTCTGAAGACTTTAAACCCTTCAGAAACTTATTTGGAAAAATGGTGCAGACAGAATTGGGGTAGAGAAATCGGATGATAGGGAAAGTAAAACCTGACTGGGCTATACCAGCCCATTCTGTAGAAGTCAGTTCCCATGTAAGGTCAAACAAAAGAGAAGGTTCTCTTTTGAATATGCTGCATCTCTCTCATCTATCCTTTTTTAAAAATATTCTGGCTGCCCTGAAGTTAATTTTCTTCAGCCTGAAAGTTGGGCCTTGTAATTCAGTCTAATTTCTGAGGTAAAGGTAAGATGCCAAGAGCAAGCCAGTATCAGTCAGACAGTTCTTTCAAGGAAAGAAGGCCCATTCTGCCAGACTCACAGAACTAGTTAATACTGCTTACTGTATCACATATTTCCCTATGCCTTTGGCAGGCAGGCAGGCAGGCAGGCAGGCAAGCAGGCAGGCAGGCAGGCAGGCAGTGTTTGGGAGGGAGACAGAGAGGGAGAAGAGGCAGAAAAGGGCTATAAGGCAGGATTCTGGTGGACTGGCCGGCATCCCTGGGCTAAGGTGCGAGGCTCTTACCTGCCCAGAGCCCTGGCCTGAGCCATCCGAGCATACAAACTGCACAAATTCCTTCAGCGAGTCCTGGCCGTGGTGGTGGTGGTAGCGGATGGTCGGGTGTGTGAAGTAGGGGCTGGACTGTTGGATGATGGAGGTTGACGGGAAGTGCAGGGCCGACGCTGTGGCACGGGGGCTTCCTGGAGAGTGTAAGGATAGATGGATAGAAATAGAGAGAGAAGCACAGAGAGAGAAAGAGTGAGAGAGTGACAGAAAGAGATGTCAGTAACAACCCCCATGCCATGCTGCTTCCACAGCCCAATAGCTACCTATACCATCAAGGCCTCTGCTGAAAAATTATCCCCATATTCTTATTTTCAAGGCTGTTTTTCAATTAAGGATTGTCACAATCCCAACAAGGAGTGGTAGTTTCTCTTTTTCAAAAGAGGTTAGCATTTGCAAAGATGTGCAAGCAGGTTTGAGCTGCATGCATTATACATCCGGAATTTGCAACAACCATGTATGTATCATGCACATATACATGCAGTAAAAATGGGTATACATTTGCTTCTGAACATGTGTTTATATCTCTGACATTTTTACTAAATTTTATTGATGTCCCATTCCTCATTTCTTATGTACTTTATTTCAGAGTTGTAACCTAATCAAAATGAAGTACAAGTACCTATATATTCTTATATTTATATCTTATTATTATGCTCTCATCTATTTCTTTCTTCTTTTGAATGCCTCCCTTCTACTCCCATCTTCTAATTCATTAGCAACTCACCGTTTTCTCTTAAACTGTTCTATAAAGCATAATGTACATTAAAATCAATAACTTCTAACTGACACCCAAGTGTAAAAGGGCAAAAGTGCATAACATAGTCCTCTCTTTGGGAATTACTGGCACATTGTAAAATGGAAAGGGAAGAGGGAAATCAGCCAAGAAACCAGCTGTTGTGTACTGGGGATTGACTCTCTCCTACTGTATGTGGCTGAAGTTCCTCCTACACAGAGTTATACACTAGGCAGATGGAGGAAATTGTAATAGGGAATCAGGACGAGAGCAAAGCAGATATTCATAACAATGAAATATAGGCTATACGGAGCAACTAGGTGGGTAAGAAATTAAGCATATAGAAAAGGGGAATGAGCCATAATTCTTTCACTAATTTAGGCAGCCCAAGCCAATTTCCAATTTGCTGTTCTTGGACTAGCTGACTGAATGAACAGTTGTAAGGGAAATCCAGAGATTTGAACAAACTATTTTGTTGTTTTCAGAGATGATAATGGCAGGGCTGCAAAAGCAAAGTGTATTTGTTGGGCAATTCTTTGCATAGGAAGATTTAGCACTGAAATAAATGAGTACAGGTAGTCCTCAATTTATGAGCACAATTGAGCCCAAAATTTCTGTTGCTAAGTGAAATAGTTGTTAAGTCTGCCCCATTTTACCACCTTTCTTGCCAGAGTTAAGTGAATCACTACAGTTATTACATTAGTAGCAATAGCACTTAGACTTATATACCGCTTCACAATGCTTTACAGCCCTCTCTAAGCCATTTACAGAGTCAGCATTATGCCTCCAACAATCTGGGTCCTCATTGTACTGATCTTGGAAGAATGGAAGGCTGAGTGAACCTTGAGCCGGTGAGAATCGAACTGCTGGCAGCCAGCAGTGAGTTAGCCTGCAATGCTACATTCTAACCACTGTGCCACCATGGCTCTTAGTAACATGGTTGTTAAGTGAATCTGGCTTCCCCATTGACTATGCTTGTCTGAAAGGTGATCACATGTCCCCAGGACACTGCAACTGTCATAAATGAGTCAGTTGCCAAAAGCCTGAATTTTGATCACAGGACCATAAGGATACTGCAACATCCATAAGTATGAAAAATGATCATAAGCCACTTTTTTCAGTGCTGTTGTAATTTTGAACAGTCACTAAATGAACTATTATAAGTCGAGGACTACCTGTAAAGGCTTTTGAAATGTGATTTCTATACTATGCTATAACTATGTCTGAGTAGAATGTAAGCCTTCCACAAAAAGTATTGGTGCCCTTTATAAAATAACTGCTTGTTTAATTATTGTGTCTTTTAACTAATGGCTTTCACCCAAGCTTGGGATCAACTGTATCCAATGTATACTTCAAATCGCAGGTCAGAAAGGTTTCTTTGCCTAACACTTGACCTATTTTAGCTTACATCTCCTTCCTTTAATATTATGCCTTTTTTTCTTTCTGTAATATAGATTACATAATTCTTAAAAACCCATTGCCTGGAGTCCTGTACTGCCTATTCCTTGAAGAGCTGCTTATTATACACTGTCACTTGCTGTCTGAGTACTTACAGGACAAAGAGAGAAATCAGTCCTGCCACAATTATTTTTTCTGTTAGTTCACCAAAGTAGTATTATACTATGAGCTCATACAAAGTGGAGACTTGGTAGAAACTCAAGCAAGTAATGGCCTCTCTCCAAACATACCACTGACATTAGTTCTCACAAAACAACTTCGTCTTCATAAGTCCTACATCTCTCTGACAATGCACTTCGATTGGCACTAAGTTTACAATGATATTGCCTCTTTAACTGCCATCCATGGCAGGATCCAAAACACAGACAAGCAAGGAACTCTTCAACCTACTAATGTTTAAAATGTTAGTACTCTATTTACAAAACCTGTTTGATGCTTCAGGGCAAGCCATTTGACAGTGTATCTTAGTGGCTTATCTAGATAAGAGGCTGGAGGAATGTATTCTAAACTTGCTTGTTCTATTCCTTACCTGAAGCACCTCATCAGATATGTTGCTACTTTAATTAAAATGCTTTCTTCTATTTCTTCCCTCCCTCTACTGCACACATATGTGCAACCTATGTACAATACAGTACATGATGCAGTACATCACTGTAAGTGATATAAAGTAACTATTAATCAGAAACCACAACATCATCCTAAGAAAAGCCAGACACCAAAATCTGTGACAGCATCCCTAAACTTCAAACTTTATGCTTATGGTTGATTACAAAAAATAAAAATACCTCCAGCGAATACACCTGTATCATGGTTCTTCCTAAACACTAGTCATAGGCATTTGTAAATAACACTTAAGCAGATTCTCTGCTCATTTGATCTAAGCACACAGACTTTAAATGCCTTGGCTGAAGGCTGAATATGCCACGACCTAAACAAGGAAAAGGTCAAGCAAGTTATAGCCTGTTTTTCAAGAAATTGAAGAAATTGGGGGTGGCGCAAAGGCTCAGCAGTTAGATGTTGGGCTTGAGACCCAAGGGTCATGTGATGGGTGAGCTTCTGTTCTTGCCCCAGCTCCTGACCACCTAGCAGTTTGAAAGCATGCAAATGCGAGTAGCTACATAGGTACCACTTTAGTGGGAGGAAACAGCACTTTTTGACATCATGTTGGCCACATGACCACAGAAATATCTTAGGATAATGCTGGCTCACTGGCCCTTGAAATGGAGATGAACGCCACCCCCTATAGTTGGTTATGACTAGCAGAGTAAAATCCTCAGAGATTCCTTCTTTTCCTCTCTCCTTCAAGAAATTATTGCATTTATTTTTGAAATGCCTATTTCTTTATGACCCTACTTGTACAATGAAAAAATCTTTAGACATCTTTCTTTGGATGACCTCACTATCACAAAAAATGGCAGATAGAAGACAAATCTAGTGTCTTTTCTGCACTGGCACCTTAGTATTTTTGAAGTCCTATGGTTCTCTGCCTGCTCTAATGGGATTTTAATGCCAATGGAAAAATCTTTTAAAATCCCTTAAGCATTTTAAACTGGTATTTTTTTCTCCAATGATTGGACTTCATTACATTTTCCCATCTGCTGTTTTCATTTTAATGCTGTTATTTTATGATATGCATTTCATTACTTTTGTTGTAGTATTTTATTTCTATTTTCATTACAAGACCACCCTGTGAAGGTGACTTGGAAGGGCAGCATATAAATAACAAAAATAAAAATAATAAAAAATAATTTTAGAAATGAAATAAGTGTAGCCATTCAGGCTCCAGACAGACTCTCAAAATATACTGAAATACGGACTTTTAAAATTTTTTAAGAAATGTACTGAAAATACATTTGTCATTTTCACTTTCATGGGGCTTAGGGTCCTACTTCAATTTCAAGCACACCTCAGAGAAGCAAGGATAAGTATTTCAGCTTGAAACAATAAGCCACTAGAAATCTGACAACTCTCAATGTATTGAATGTAGTCTATAGGTTAGATTTGCCTTTCTTGGATGCAAACTTTAAATATCCTAGTTTTTTAAACAAAATATTTAAATGTAGTTGTCCATTCATTCTGAAGCCTCCTTTTCCAAAGCATTTTCAAATGAGCATTTGAAGCTATATATATTAAACTAGATCTCAGTCCATCTATGTACTGCTATCAATTCAAACTTGGTCCTGTGGCTTTCAAGTTAATCTGATTTATCAAAACTTTCTTCTTTATATGCCATTTTAAGGATAAATTCTTGAGAATGCCATTTGCAATCAATGTGTTAAACCATTTTGGGGGAAAAAAAGAAAAGAAAGCAGGGGAACAAAAGACAGAGGAAGTGAAAGAGAGAAAAAGAGACAGCAAGAGACTATTGCCAGAACCGAGGTGGTTGAATCTATTGACATGCCCTACCAAGGAGACAACTTTGTCCCTTGCCTCCCATCTTGCCCACAATCCACCCATTCGCCCCCCTAAGAAAATGGCTTTGTTCTCACCTGGTCTGACTCCTGCTAGGACAGGCAGCGGGTGGTGGGTGAAAGCCATTCTCGGGGAGGTGGTGTGGGAGGACAGGGCACTGCAGAAATCCAGCTTTCCTGACTTCTTTAAAGAAGCCGGTCCTGGCAAGGAATCAGGGAGAAAGTTCATGGTTTAACAGGTGGAGGAAAGATGGATTAGTAGTTAGCCATGCTCTTTCATTCACTTCTGTGGTCCAATTTATGTTCTACAACAGATCTAAGGGATTATATTGGGAACGGCTGCTTTCAATTTTTAGTTTTTCTACCTGTCACTGAACAGGTTAAAGAAGCAGCTCACATGTCTATTCTGCATAAAAGCCAACAATGAAGTAGACGTAGATAGACAGACAGCATTATTATTCATTATTTCTACAGCACTTGATAAGCACTTGATATTAAGAGCAATCTCCATGTGTCTCTGAGGTGCCTGCATTAATAAAATAAAAATAAATAAAATCTCCTTTGTGTCAGGTTTGATTCCCCCATGGAACCTACATACATCTAGACAACATACAGAAGTGGCTGCCTTAGCCCAGTTCCAGGATTTTTACTTTTTTTTACTTGTACTCCAACCTACGGCCCTGGGACTCCCTTTTGGTCTCTCATTCAAGAAAATATCCTTAGCTTCCAAGCGCAGACTAGATTAGCCAGGTTCTACCACTTGCTAAGACTTAGATCCATCAGTCAAGGTGTGCAATAAATTAGTGTTTTGACTCTAGGTTGCAACACTTTATTTCTTTTCAAAACTCTAGATTTTTCCCCATCTCTGCTACTCACTATTCCTTGTCCTAGAGCACATCTAAGTTTGTTATATCTCAGTGACAAGATGTAATCTGAATGCTTATTAGGGTTTTTCAAAGCCCTGCACCAGAGCAGTTTCTTGCCTTTGTTCTAAAGCAGTCTTGCTTCAGTGGAGTTTGCCATGTGATTGAAAATGCTTATTTGCATGACAAATGCTACTCTTCCTTTGAATTAACAGTTATTAAACATCAATATAAATTTGTTCAAAGGCTGTTTAAGTTTCCTCCACAATTCCCTGCAAAGACATAGATTTGTCACGTCATTTGAGCAAGGCCTTAGTTGGGTGCCAGGAGAACTAATAATAGCCAAAAAGTGAAAAAAGTAAATAGTAAAAGGCACAGGTACATGAAAAAAACCCTCTTAATAATTCACAAAAGAACTATTGAAATTGCTTATTTTCCAGAAATGGCTTCACTTCTTCACTGTTCAGCACAGCTGAAATACTTTCCTGATGTATTTTCCTGAATTTCTTGATTCCTACTTCCTCCCCGAAATTATTATTTATTTATTAGATTTAGATTCTGTTTCTATTTTCTATCACTCAAGGCAGCGTACATATAGTAATACTCCTGGATTTGGGTTGGTCTGAGAGAGTGACTGGTGTAAAATCATGTTCCAGCTTCCATGGCTAGAGCTCATCATATCCCAGTTTCTTATCCACTATGTCAGGGATCCCCAGCCCCTGACCCACGGCCCACTACTGGAGCTTGAGCCTTTTGGAACTAGGCCTGGGAAGTGGTGGGCAAGCGTGTGCATGCTCCATTTGCGCAAATGGAGCTGCATTGCATGCTTGCCTGCTGTTCATGTAGAATCATCCCCTGTCCCTCTCCCCCACCCCAGCCAGTCTGCAAAGCCAAAAAGGTTGAGGAACTCTGCACTATGTGACAGTGGCTCTCTTGGCTTGACAGATACACTTCTGTGAAGTACTGGTGGTGGGGCAGATATCAAGGTGGGAAACCAAAGTGCCAAGCACATGTCTGTATTCAGTTTATTTATCTGTTTGTTTATTTAATATATTTAAACACAGGGTTGCCCCTCCTCCCCCCAAAAAACTTTGTATGTTGTACAAATCTGAGAAACCAAACAGGCTATTCCAATTTCTTCTATCTTATATACCAGGTTGTGGTAGGACTGGGTCTTGCTAAAAGAGGAAAGATCAGTCTGCAATGTAGGCAACTGTACAGAATTGTATGTTATGACCTCTCACAAAGCCAATGAGAAAATCTCAGTAAATCAGACACGGGAGCAAGCAGCCTATGCAGTTATATCTCAAGGAAATAATTAGTCTGCTCCTACGAAATAAGTACATTATAAAGTATAAGAACATTATAATTAAGGAATCTTGCAATATGTTTGTCATTGTCAATAATATTTTTTCTTACATATTACAAGGCTTAATATCCTTGTAATATAATACAGTATATAAGTATTAAGAGCCTTATAAGATATTCCATAACAGACCAGTTTGGTTTGTTCTGTTCTAATAGTTAACGTACCAGGCTAGAAACCAGGAGACTATGAGTTTTTAGGCAGGAAAGCCAGCTGGGTAATTTTGGGCCAGTCACTCACTCTCAGCCCATGACACCAAGCTTGGGTGAGACAAGCCAGTCGGCCACTTTCTATCACAACCAATGGATCAACAGTTGGTTGATCTAAAAAAAGTAGATCCTGCATTTGTGGGAAAACGCTAAGAAGAAAAAATCCCAACATTTTAAATGTTACTTTAAAATTGTTGTAGGACTCAGTTGATGGAGGTTGAAGAATTTGAACTATATTTTTGTCCTGTTTTTCATATGCTTGGTGTCATACAATAGACAAATACACATAGTGATTTTATCTTTGAATGAGGAAGTTGCGACTGACTGAGAGTACTTCTTCAGTTGAAATTGGAAATGTTAGTATTTTGCAATGGGGAAATGCTTTACAATGGGAGTGGGAGAGAAAATGTAAATGCCAGTCCTGAAAATGGAGAAATACATCTTAGGGGGAAAAAATTAAAATGGCAGAGCATTGTTGAAGGAGAAAGGGAAGTCTCACAGCATTTTATTTTCAGTGTAATATCAGACTCCAGAACAAGGTTTATGGGGTAGGTCCAATAGCAACTTCTACAGACAAATTACCCATTTCATTGAGGATAACTGTTTTTATGCATCTGGAGTCCCCAGGAAAAAAGAGAGTTTGCCATAAACAGCAGTGCAATAGAAATAAACAAATATTTTGAACAAGATGAAGAACAAAAAGATCCTATATCTACTCTATAGAGTGTCCATATAAATTATCAACAAATAAGAAGTAAATCAAGAAATTCAAACTAATATGTAAAATGTAAATATGGAAGAATGGCATATGAATTGAAAGCTTTAAAGCTTAAAAGATAAATGATTGAATTTTGGATGTATTCAGATATAGATGGATATACTCAAGAACAAAACGTTGAACTGTCAGAGAGATGGTCAGATCATTACATTTGGCCAGCTACAATTTAGAAATTGTGATATGTGCTTAAGGTTCTTCAAGTCAAAGGACTTATTACTTTCTTCCCTCAGGCAGCTGTTTAGTGAATAATGCCTCTTTTTCATGGCTTGACTATGTCTTGTTTCAATAGATACTGCTGTCATCGGCATATATCCCTCATTACCGGTATATCAAAATATTTATTAAATAGGCTTGCAAGTTTAATCTGCAAAGCTGTTTTATTATTTGCTATTAATTAATATAGCTAATTTTCATTTCTGTACTTGATTTATGCAGCAGTTGGAATTATCCATGGCCAAATAAAGAATATTGCTTAACTATGCCTTTTTAGAACAACCACTTAAGAGTTATTTCCCATTTGTTAACGACATAAAAAGACATATCCAGTATTCTGTTCTTAAAGAAGCTACCCCAAACCTTCAGACTTGCACAGAAGATCTTCATGAAATAGCACCTTATTAATTGTTATTTATTAACAGTAAACTTAGTTTCTGAAAGTGGTTAATAATATAATTAAATGTTACAGATCCACATGTAAAAGGAAAATATTACCAGATTTAGTGGAATTCAAGATCAACAGTAATACAACTTCTTCCCCCAGCCCTAGGAGAGGAAGTTTTATTGAGTAGTGCACAAAGAGCTCAGTAAGAATTTAATATCTTTCTTCCCCTGTCCTTACCACTTACTATGGAGAGACGATCAAGAGCATCCTGTCTGGTTTGGGAGAATTACTGCTTTGGACAGGAAAGTGGTGCAGAGTTGTGAGGATAGCAGAAAAGATTATTGGTAGTTCACTTCCTTCTATCTACAAGAGAAAATTTGGAAGTGGCCCAGGCAGTTACCTCCCTGATTCACAGGAGGATAAGGAGGTTCAGCACAATCAGATTTCAAAAATTTGATTATTGCAGCCAATCTCAATAAAAGTAGATTTTAGCCTTCTGGGAAGTTGATTTTCTGGTCTGGGCAGCCCAAAAGCGATACTCAGGGTCCAAAACCTCCCGGGGGGATTTGTCCTCTTGCTCCTCAACGCCCTCGCTTAAACGGCTCCTTCGGAGGCAGACTGGCTGATGGAATTCGGGAGATGCCAGAACGACTTTGAGCACCAGGAAGCTTGGAACATGTCCAGTTACTCCAATGGACAGAGCCTCGATGGACTGAGGGACAGAAGGCAGGATTGGAGGGTGAGCCTCGAATGGCATCCCAGCTCCTGCAGAGGGCAGCTCCAGGGCTGGGCTTGGGCAGGGCAGGGAAAGGAGTCCCAGCTGCTTCTTGGGGATGGGAACTCCCCACCCTTCCCATTTGCTGGGGCTGTTGGTGTAGCTGCGAGTGGAAAGTTATCCTATGTGTGCGGCTGGAGCTGAAGCACAAAGTTGGATGATGGAGGCTGAGTGGGCAGGGGCCATGATGTGGCAATGACAACGACTGGCTAAGCTGTCTCGCCACAGCCCCACTGTCTTTATTTGCCCACAGCTGCTGCGGCTGGGACAGGGCAGGCGGTCACCCAGCGCATCCAATGAGCCAGATTGCATGCCTCCCCCTCTGTGTCTCTGCCTCTGCCTGCCGCTTAAAGGGCTGGCCCAACAGCTGTGGTGCTCGGACCCACCTGTGCTGTGTGACCCCAAGTTGTGTGAGTGTGGTGCAGGTAGGGTGGGGCTGAGCACAGTTTATTGGATGTCCTGGGCTCACATCTAGCTGGCCATCGCTGCTGGTCAATGAGTGACCAAGGGGTCAATAAACCAGCTGCTGTCGGGCATCCCCAGCCCCCCTGTGCTCGCCGCCTCCTATGTACGCACCAAGGGGAGCACCCGGCTGGGGTGGGCCAGGGCTGAGGCGGCGGAGGCTGGCCCCTCACCATCTCCAGGGCAGTCCTGTGGCCCAGATCCAAACACATCGCAAGCCAGATCTGGCCCATGGGCCTTGAGTTTGACATGTTTGATCTAGGACACAGTATATAAGTGATGCTTGACAGGGTCCGCAGTATTGTCTGGGATGCTACACATCCTTTTCATGACCATTCTCCTTATTACCTTCTGGGAGGAGGCTTCGTGGTATCCGAAGCACAACATCTAGATTCAGTCACAGTTTTGTTCCATATAGTTATCAATCTTGTGAACTCTCAATATATATATGGGTCTAGGTATGTATATATATATGTACAGTATATAGCATGTGTATATGTGTGTTATGTATGTGTATGGGTAGATGTATACTTTCTTTTGAGAGCAGGCAACAGAATTTCATTTTTAATGTGTGCCAGCATGCTCACAATACACAATGACAATAAAGCTTGCCCTGCCCTGCCCTACAGAATATGCTTAGCAAACATTAAAAATCAATTACTAAGACCTGAGTGTGGAATGGAATATAGAAGACAAGGGCAGGACAGCATAGTTAGAACTAGAAACGCTACAACATTTTATTGTACATTGCTAGAATTAGCTACTGTTCATAGCTCTGATGTTGCTGCCCTGGAGTATCACTGATTTGTTGGCTTTTGGACTCACCCTTAGACTCCACCCTAATGCACACACAAGCCATTGTTATAATAAACCATCTGTCTTTGGGCAGTTCACTTCAGTGTGAAATACAATACGGATAGGTGATGTAGTGTCAAAGCTGATTTAAAATCTACACATGGATTTTTTTTGTGTGTGCATTTGTAGATCTACACTGTGGATTGATCTTGATTAAAAGCATCCACACCTCGGGAAACATGATTATGAGTTACAAAATGCTGTCTCCACAGATATGAAACAGAGAATCTGGTGACATACCCCTTGAATATTAGGGGATCAATACAGTGCTTCATACAGAAATGGGCCATTTCTGTTCATCACTATTTTTCTAATGCAGCACAATCTGGCACTTCAGCAGCAGGCAAGGGGGGCCCGAGAGAAAAAAGCCCCCAGCCTGTTATCTCATGCCAGCTGCCTAACACCTGATACCTGTGCACAGGGATAGGGAGGGGGGCTGCCAGCCAGCTGTGAACACCTGTCTCTGTCAGACGGCTGGATGGTCTCTCCAGCTGTTCATACAAGCCCTGCAGCTGTGCTGCTTAATTGGTGATTTGTTCAGATGGTTGGGAACAAACCTCAACAAGACAAAGGAGGAGGAGGGAGATGAAAGAAAGAGAAAAAAAGTGTTTGAATACAGCCTGTTCCACAGCCTTCAGCCCTCAGAAAACTAAGGAAGACCCAAGTACAAAACAAGCCCACTCCCATAATTATTCCCTACAGATCAGCGGAATAATTTTGATTTATCAAATGTACTGCAAACACAGAGGAAGTGCAGCTTATAAAGCATTTAAGAAACTGGCTTAAGATGTTATGTGCTGCATGCTGCATTGGAACACTCCTTTTAATGGAGTATTCACCTATTTTCCTTTGAAGTTACCCTAGAATTTGGAGGTAGACTAGAGTATCCTCCAGACACAGCTTCCCACTGCTTTATTCTGACAGGAAATGTGCAAATTCACAAACCTTTTCATAGGTATACTTTACTAAAACTGTATTTCCAAAAACATGTACACAGGGGATGCTCCTTTTCTTCTATGACATCTGACTTACAAATTAATGTGTATACATAATCTGTCTATACTGTGGGATAAAAATATTAATATGCAAAAGAGTTCAGAAGAATAGGTAGACTTTCCATGTAAGCATATAAAAATGATGTAAATGTAATGAAAAGGACAATACAGTATTAAGAATCTTCTTTCCATCTTCTGTGTCATCCAAGACTTACAGTACATTAATTCCCACACCTAATGGGCTACTGGCTGATCATATCTAATCCCCATAAAACAAGACAGTATTTGGAAAACATAGTTGAACAGGGGATTACTTTAAATGATGGAAGCTGTAACTGAATACACATATACCTCACCACAGCTACTATATGGGCTGATAGTATTTCCAATAAAGCAAATTTAATTTTTGTGAAGAAGATTGAATTTTTAAATTTTTTTTCTTCATTCACATTGGTTAAGAATACAGGATAATTTCTTCTGGAATGAAGGAAAATACCCCTCTAAACAAACAGGTGAATACCCAAACAAAAATATATAATAATAATAATAATAATAATAATAATAATAATAATAATAATAATAATAATAATAATAATAATAATAATTTTATTTTTATTTTTATTTTAAATGTAATAAGAACAAATTACTATTTAAATTTACAGCAAAAATTTTATGCAATAATTAAAATATATTGTATATCTTACTTGGAGAACAGAACAGAACTCAGCTTTCCTATATCTCAGATGTGGTCAAGCTTACTTCGGCAGTTCTTTAATCAGAATTGCCAGAGAGGTTTCAGATAAGCCAGGAATATATCAGTTCATTCTAGCCACCAGCATCCCATTCCACTGTCCTATTTATTCCACTAATTCCGATACAGCCAGAATCCATTCTTGTAAATCATTAGGACAGTTGATTTCCAGCAGTGTAAGAAATCCCAGTATGGACAGTTGCCGTGCCTTACATTGGAGTCCATTGCTCAATCCTTCAAACTATGTAGCAGCTACTTCATTCCCATTATCCTGCACACAAACTTCTTTACCCTGGACATTAATCCTCTTTCTCCTTATTCATGAAGATTATGTCATGCACATATTCAACATATACATGCCAATATGCTCTCATTCATACTCACAAGCTAGCATTTTTGAGGTAGCTATATAAATATTTCATTCTGCAAAACTACACATGACCATAGCTTATTTGTATCACAGTTTTTTGAAGTCTACACAAATTTAATTCAATGTGTACAATTTACTATTGGTTCCATTATGCTTATGTAGTATTTCAGAACACCTTATTTCACTGGGTTTCATGCTGGGGAGCTTTATATATTTATATTTTGGGGTGCCGCAAGGGTCAGTCCTCTCACCCCTTCTGTTCAACATTTATGTAAAACCGCTAGGTGAGATCATCCGTGGTTTTGGGGTGAGTGTTCATCAGTATGCTGATGACACACAGCTATACATCTCCACCCCAGACCACCCCAATGATGCCCTTGCTGTGATGTCCCATTGCCTGGAGGCCGTGCGGATCTGGATGGGGAGAAACAAGCTCAGACTCAACCCCTCCAAGACCGAGTGGCTGTGGCTTCCGGCGTCCCGGTATAGTCAGCTGGTACCATCACTGACAATAGGGGATGAGATCTTGCTCCCCACAGAGAGGGCCCGCAACTTGGGTGTCCTCCTGGATTCACGGTTATCTTTAGAAGATCATTTGACGGCCGTGGCCAGGGGTGCCTTTTATCAGGTTCGCCTGATCCGCCAGTTGCGTCCCTTTCTAGATCGGGATGCCTTGCACACGGTCACTCATGCCCTAGTTACCTCCCGTATGGACTACTGTAATGCTCGCTACATGGGGCTCCCCTTGAAAAGCACCTGGAGGCTCCAACTGCTCCAGAACGTAGCCGCGTGGGTGATTATGGGCGCAGCTCGTTACGCCCATGTAACACCTCTCCTACGCGAGCTGCACTGGCTCCCGGTGGTCTTCCGGGTGCGATTCAAGGTGTTAGTTATCACCTTTAAAGCGCTCCATGGCTTAGGACCTGGGTACCTACGAGACCGTCTTTTGCCACCAATAGCCTCCCACCGACCAGTTCGTTCTCACAGGGAGGGACTACTCAGGGTACCGTCAGTCAAATTATGTCGACTGGCGACTCCCAGGGGGAGGGCCTTCTCTGTGGGGGCTCCAACCCTTTGGAATGAACTGCCCCCGGAGAAACAGAATATCCCTGATCTCCGTGCTTTCTGCCGTGCCCTCAAGACCCTGATGTTCCAACAGGCGGGGCTAAACATACGAACATGTGAATGATTTTTTAAATGTTATCTAATTCTGGGTTTTATTTAATTGACCAAACTAAGTAATAATTTTAATTAGCAATTTTATGATGTTTGTGTGTCTATATTTTTCTTGACTGTACACCGCCTTGAGTCCTACGGGAGAAAGGCGGTATAGAAATATAATAAATAAATAAATAAATAAATAAATAAATAAATAAATAAATAAATTATTGCATGCCTAGTGTTTTTTGCTAGTATTAGAGAGATATGTATTTCTTAGTTTCAAATCTCATCCATACTGGACTAAGAGTTATCTACCCTTCCCTCATGAGGCATCTTTGCCTATGTGCTCTGTGTAGGCTTAACTTCATTTTGTAACCACATTTTAAACTAAGACTTCACCTGTATTTGGGTATGTGTCTGTTAAAGGGCTATGCTTCATATTTGTTGCAAGCAACCATATACCAACTTGTTTGAACCATTTCCCTAAACAGCAGCTTCCAATCTGTAGAATCCAAACAGAGCTCACCTGAAACAAATAATTATCACTTGTCCTATACCTTCTTCATTAACAAAGCATTAATTAGAAAATATGGTCACTGTATTGGAAGAACAGATGCAATTGTGGATGAAATCTATGCAGGCCTAATGGAGATGGTAAATGAAGGCCAAAGATCAGACTAGTCCTTTTGCTTTTGTTTCCCATCTCAATATATATTAACTGATGAGGAAAGACAGTTGCCTCTTACCTGCATCCACATCATTGGGCCAACCACTGGATTGGCTGCTGCCAGCTGCTGGGGACCGTCCCGTCCCAGGATAAAACACATCATCTACTGGACTCTCCATTTCGCTGTCATCTAGTGATTTAGGCCGTTTGGTGGAACTGCAGTGGAACCATAACACAGACGCACAGATCATAAGCAACAATGTAATGAAATACAGGGTTAAGTATTTACTCCCCACCCCACCCCCAGTTGGGACTAATTACTACAAGAAATGCTATTTGGTTTGAAGAGTCTTTCAATGAACTCAAAGATTTTTGCACTTCACAAAGTTTGTAATAGACCTACCTGCTAGAAGGTGGTGATGTTATTGACCGTCTACCAAGAGCCACTTGATTGATGTTGTAGTAACTGGGACTCTCCAGATCAGCCAGAGAGAAGTTTGGACCAGATGCTGTTGCAACAGGAGCTAAGAGGTAAGAGGCAATAACTCAACAGACTGGAAGATAGGGAGCATGAGAAAAACAAAGGTTCAAACTGATTTCCTGTTGAGTTTCTTGAATTGAAATAATAATAATAAAAAAAGGAGTTGTAAACATGACCAATCACAGAGAGTATTGATTACAAACACATTTGTACCATGTGCATGCAGATTCAGGCAAAAACATCCAATTTACAGAGTAATTTCAGTGGAAAGGAGGGAGGGGGAAGGAAGAAAGGAAGGAAGGAAGGAAGGAAGGAAGGAAGGAAGGAAGGAAGGAGGGAGGGAGGGAGGGAGGGAGGGAGGGAGGGAAGGAAGGAAGGAAGGAAGGAAGGAAGGAAGGAAGGAAGGAAGGAAAGTTTTTTTCTCTTATCCTTCAGTGTCTCCATTTGATTGCAATGGAAGTTTGAATACATGGCACATAAAAAGGCTGCATAATTCTAGAAGTTGACAGTAAAAGAGCATTCTTCTGTAAGTAAGATGTCAAGAAAGTTAAATTAGGAAGTGTGAAGAATGCATCAAATAAATCAATGTATTACTTATTTTAGATTTTTACCCTCCTTCTTCTCTATAAAACTCCAAATTGCTCACAAAAAGATAGAAATATAAAACAGTAAACAATAGAGAAGCATATTAATATATTACACTAAATATTTAAAATATTTAAATCACTAAAACTTATTGATATACTCTCAATAAGATCATACATTAAAGATCTAGAAGACTATTAGTGAAGAAAGGGGCATCTCTTGAGTTTCAAAGTCCAGGCATAACCTCTGAAAAGGCTCTTTTCCTAGTCCTGATCAGATGGCTTTCAGACTCTTGAGTTCTTACAATACAATCAGAATAGAGCTGAAAGGGACCTTTGAGGTCTTCTAGTCCACCCCCCTGCTCAAACAGGAGACCCTATACCATTTCAGAAAAGTGACTGCCCACTTCTTAAAAACCTCCAATGATAAAGTATCCATGTCTGGAGGTAAACTGTTCCAATGGTTAATTGTTCTCACAGTTAGGAAGTTTCTTCTAAATTCTAGGTTGCTTCTCTCCTTGATTAGTTTCCATCGTTTCTTCTTCTGGCCCTCTGGTGCTTTGAAAATTTGACCCCCTCCTCTTTGTGACAAGCTCTCAAATACTGGAATACTGCTATCATGTCCCCCCTAGTCCTTCTTTTCTCTAGACTAGCCAAACCCAAATCTTGCAACCGTTCACATGTTTTTGTCTCCAGGCCTTTAATCATCTTAGTTGCTCTTCTTTGCACATTTTCCAAAGTCTTAACATCTTTTCTGTAATGTGATGACCAAAATACTGGATGCAGTATTCCAGGTGTGGCCTTACTAAGGTACTAACACTTCAGCTGATTTTGATTCTATGCCTCTGTTTATACAACCAAGGATTGTATTAGCTTTTCTGGCTGCTGCCATATACTGCTGGCTCATATTTAAGTGATCATCCACTAGGACTCAAATGTTCCTCTCATAGTTTCTGTTTTTAAGTCAGGTTTCACCTAATCTGTACCTGTACCTTTAGTATTTCCTGCTTAAGTGTAAACCTTTGCGTTTCTCCACATTAAATTTCATTTTCTTGGATAGGGCCCATTGTTCAAGTCCGTCAGGATCTTTTTGGATCCTGAGCTTGTCTTTTGGGTAGTGATGTTGTCTATCCTACATTTTTCTAGCTTACCAAGAAGTAGTTTGTGGTCTACTTTGTTGAATGCCTTGCTGAAGTTTAAGTATACTATGTCCACAGCATTCTGCTCCTCTACTAATTTAGTCACTGTCAAACAATAAAATAAGATTGGTTTGGTATAGTCTGTTTTTAACAAACCCATGCTGGCTTTTAGTTACAACTTTGTTTATATATGTTCGCAGATTTGCTTTTTGATTATCCCAGGTATTGATGTTAAGCTGATTTATCTGTAGTTTCCTGGGTCTGTTTTTTTCCTTTTTTGAAGATGGGAACCACATCAGTTCTTTTCCAATCCTCAGGTAATTCCTCGGTGTTCCAGGATTTTTGAAAGATATGGTACAATGCATTGTTCTGAGATAACATCTGCCAGCTCCTTCAGAACTCTGGCATGTACCGTATTTTTCAGACTATAAAACACACCTAGCTCTTGGAGAGGAAACCAAGAAAAAAAAATCTGCCTCTGCCTCCCAGCATCCATCTGGTATTCACCAGGCCCGCAGCCTGTTCGCCTCTGCGGTCCATTCGCTGTGGCATGTTCGGACCACTGCTGCCCATTCACCGCTTGCCATGGCCTGTTCGCAATGGCCCGTTCGCCGCTGCCACCGCAGCCCATTCTATAACAGCTGATCGGTGCCACACCAACCCCCCTCCCCCCCTCAATATTCGCTGTATAAGATGCACAGACATTTCCACCCACTTTTGGGGGGGGGAAGTGCGTCTTATACTCCAAAAAATACAGTAATCCCTCAGGTCCCAGTGATTTATAGTCATCAAGATCAGATAGCTGTTCTCTAACCATTTTCTTGTTTATTTTAATTTTTATTTCTAGTCTGTCTTTTACAGTTATGTTTTTGGTAGGTTGGGCCATATTTTCTTTTTGTGTGAAGACTGATGCAAAGAATGAGTTAAGCGGTTCTTATCTCTGCTGCCTGTTACTTCCTTGTCATTTTCTCTTAAGTGGACCTACTGTTTCCTTGACTTTTTTCTTGTTATTTATATGTTGAAAGAAACCTTTTTATTATCTAACTTTTGTTGCAAGTCTTTGTTCATTCTGAGCCTTTGCTTTCCTGACTTCATCTTTACAGTTTCTGGCTACCTGCTGATACTCTGCCTTAGTTATGTGTCCCTCTTTCCATTTTTTTTGTACTTGTCCTTTTTGTCTTTGATCTTTTCAGAGAAATCTTTGTGCAACAAGGCTGTTTTTTTTCTCTTGGATTTCTTGTTTTTCTTTTTCAGTGGTATTGTGCTAGACTTGGCTTTTATGGCCATATTTTTCAGAGTTTCCCACACTTCTTGAGTTGTTTTCCTCTTTAGGATTTTCATCCATGGAATTTTTCTTATGCTCCCTCTCAGTTTGTTAAAATCAGCTTTTCTAAAGTTTAAAACACTGGCTGCAATATGTTCTACTGCTTATGTTTACATTATATTGAATTCCAATATAATGTGATCACTCTTGCCCAAAGTTCCAGCAACTTCAACTCTCCCATCACTTCTTTTCTATTAGTAAGAATTAGGTCCAGTATAGCTTTTCCTCTAGTTCCCTCCTCTACGTTTTGAATGACAAAGTTGTCATCTAGGTTGCTTAGGAATATGTTTGATCTCCCACTTGCTGCAGAGTTTGTCTCCCAGTTGGTATCAGGGTAGTTAAAATCTCCCATTACTACTATGGTATATTTTGTTAATTGTTTAGCAAAAAGTTCATTTATTTCTTCTGCTTGGTTGGGTGGCCTGTAGTATACGCCTATAGCAATGTCATTCTTTTTTCCTTTTATATTGACACATATGGATTCTAGGAGATTTTAATCCTTGGATTTCTGTAGAGATGTAGTGATCTTTTATATATTAATGCAACTCTACTTCCTCTTTTGTTAGGCCTGTTTCTTTTGAATAGTTGGTATCCTTCCATCAGTACATTCCAGCCATGAGTTTCATCCCACCATGTTTCAGTAATGGCAACTATATATTTACCTTCAGGCACTAGTACTTCAAGTTCACCCTGTTTGTTCCTTAAACTTTGAACATTTGTATATAGGCATTTGAGTCCTTTATGGGGTCTTAAGTATATTTCTTATATCTCCTACTTTGTATCTGGGTTTTCCATCCTTTCCATCACTCTCTACTTCATTGTGTTTTTCCTTTTTTTTCTCTTCTTCTTCTTTCTCTTTACTCCCTACCTCTTTACATGATTGGTTATCTGCTGGTTTTTGCTTGGAATTAGGTTCTAAAGGTCTTGAAGATTGCCCCCCTCCCCCCTCAATTTTAGTTTAAAGCCCTTCTGATAAGCTCTTCCCGAATATATTCTTTCCAGTTCTTGTGAGATTCACTCCATCCCTTGCCAGTAGCACTTCATGTAGGTAATGTAGACCATGGTCAAGGAAACCGAAATTCTCTTGACAAACACTAGTTTTTAAGCCAATGGTTCATTTCTAAAATCCTTTGCTCCTTTATTGGATGTTGGCCTTTTGTTAGAAGTATAGATGAAAACACCACTTGAACTCCTAATTCTTTAACTTTCTTCCCTAGCTGTTTGTAATTTCTTGTATTGTTTTTAGATTCATTGTTGTGTCATTGGTCCTCTTGTGCAGAAGGGGTCGTAATCCATGGGGTTGATTATTTTAGTAAGGTTCTCAGTTACATCTTTGATTTTTGCTCCAGGGAGACAACATACCTTCCTAGACTGACTATCAGTCTGTAGACTATAGTTTCTATTCCCCAAAGAATCAAATCTCCTATCACCAATATTCACCTTTTTCCCCCTAAGGAAGTCTTGGATATTATTCTTCCTGTTATAGAAATGCTGGGTTGTATCTCATTTTTAGAAACTATTAATGACTATGTTTTGGGGGTTTTTTTGTTCCAGAGGGAGGCTATAGAAGCGATTGTTCAGTTCCAGAGGGACTTCACTGGAGTGGGCTAGGGTAGATAGTAAGAGCTTTACTCTTGATTGCCGTTTACTTCTAAAAGTGGCATATTTCCATTGGTCTTGCTCTTTAACTTCATATATAGTCATTTTTTGGGGAAACTGTTTAGGGAATACAATTGAACCCTATTGTGTTCAATTTGGGTGTATTCATTTTCTTTTTTTTTTTGTTCATATATGGGGTCATTTTTTAAAGAAGTTGTTTGCTTCCTATTGTGTTTAATTTTGGCGTAGTCTTCTTGCTAAAGTTGGGGATTCTCACTTTGTTCACTAAGTTTCAGAGTGGCTAGAGTTGTTTCTAGACCCTTTATTTCTTCTTCTAGTAATTTATATGATTTACATTAGGCATCATATGACAGGTCTTCAGATATCCAGGTCTCAAACCTTTCAGGACTTTAGACAGTACAAATGTTTCAGTTGGGAAGTCACCTGTCTCACAGGTGCAGTTCCAGAAGCTACAGTATTCTGGGTCAATTATTATTTCCAGATACTTTTCTAAAGTAGAGCATATGGCAATAATACAGATGTGATGAAATGAAAGCATTTTATTATTAGACAAATCTACATTCTTAAGGAATGGACACAGCTAATTGGGTAAAGAAATTTCTGCTAACATCTAAGTTTCCATTTCATAACTACAGAATTCAGTATTTCAGTTAAAACATAATGGGAGAGCTATGTACATGCCATTTACATATTTCAGTTTTGTTCTCAAAAACAGGAAGATAAAATTCAAGGAAGCACTTCCTAGTGATTGGGATTGGGCACAACTATTGCTGATTTTTGCCAATTGCTGTGCTGTGCCTTTCTTGTGAACTTTACCCATCAATAGAGATGGCCAAAATCAGTTTGGTGCCTCCACAGAAAATGAATCTTAATTGTGGTGGAAATATCACAGTAAATTAAATAACTGACTATGATTACTTTATGTGCTCATGTCTTTTAGACCACATTATGATCATAAATGTTCAGATGTCTTAACATTGGCAACATTGCATTTCAATTTGCTCAGTAATGCAAACTCTTCAAAAATAATAAATAATTACACACAGAGAAAAAAAGAGAGAGCAAAAGAGGGAAGAAGCCAAGTATTTAAATTATTTATTTTGGAAGAAATTAGCAAACAAATTCTAACAGGAAATTGATTAGCTCATTAAAAAAGATTAGAATGCATATTAAAGCAAATGGCTAAATAGAAATAGTATAAATAGCAACAGCAAATGAAAATCTATGTATGGGGCTAAGGCTAACAAAGTCAGAAAACTCAGGTGGTAACTGAGAATAGTTGGCTTGCAGAACAAGCAAGGCCAAAAAAAGGGGGTTTCTTCTTCAAACTGAAATATGGATCCTGACTTAGGCAGCATCTGAGGTATCCTAACAGAGATTCTGTAGAAGAAGAGAGATTGTAGATATCATGAAACTTTTCCCTAATGTGGCCTATTGCTTGGCCTGAGAAGAAAGAGAAACAGACTAACCGATTTCTCCTTTGCACAGAAGTAGTGGGGCTTCCCTGCATAAAGAGATCAGAGTTTCTCTAATATGACTCTGTACCAATATATATTATAGCCCAGAAAGTATATGGTAATAGAGAGGAATAGGATTTGGCAATGGCAGACCAAACACCAAACAAACAAACAAACAAACAAGAAACAGGAAAATACAGAGTTTGGATCGTGCTTATGTAAAAGATATGTCCTCCACCCTGCATCATTAATGTATCCATTGTGGCCCTCACAATCTCCAGAAACCATCAGAAGCAGGGGTGAAATGCTCCCGGATCGGATCAGATTGCCTGGTCCGGTAGCGATCTTGGCCGGTGGTTTGGCGATGGTGGAGCGATGGTGGAGCAAAGCTCCGCCCACCCACCTGGGTGTCATTACTTCCTGGTTTTAACTAGGAAGTAATGTGTTTTTTACCTTCTGCGCATGTGCAGAAGGTTTTGTGCATGCGCAGAAGGTCTGCGCGTGCATGTAATGCACGGGCACGGCATGTGCGCTTCCGAACCGGTAAGGAAGGTAAGTAGATTTCACCCCTGATCAGAAGCAATAGGAAAAGGGAATTCTTGCACTGAAGGCTAGATTTTACTTTCTCAGTTATTTACTTTTCTCAAGAGAAAACACACACATAAACACACTTAAGTGTTAGAAAATAAAATGGAGCATGACTTCCAAGTACCTAGAGATATCTTCATAAAAAAAATAGCAAAGAGTACTTAAATATATCATTTTGGGGATCTTACTCTGCCATTGAAATATAGTCAGCAAGTACTGGTCTGGAGACTGAATACTTCTTTAGGCCAATTAGAGCTAGACCCATCAAATTAGAATTTGAGATTGATCAGCTGAAGAATTATGTACAGTACAGTAAAGATAAAATTTCCTGAACTCTTTCTCTGGGTACAAAGCTTTCTTGTTAAAGTTTCCTGCAGTTAGTTAAGCTTATATCACTCAGCATTCTTTGCTGAGAAAGGCAGTCTACAAACAAATTCTTAGGAACAATCGATTCCTAATATATCATGGGTGTCAAATTCATGGCGTCATGTTGCTGTCAGATGACATTTCATGACGTTTTTCCCATTCGCCGAGCTGAGTGGGCATGGCCTGCGCATGATACATCTGGCCCACAGGTTGTCAGTTTGGCACCCCTGTAATATATGCTTAAAGGTGGGGCTGATTCAGTTCATTGCTTTCAGTGCAGTGGGTCACCATGCAATTGCCATTTGTATTGAAGCATCCACCTCTACTGATTCTACAGTAGAATACAGTAGAATATCTTGTACCTTTCTGTCAGAAAGTAATTTTAATATTCATGTTAGATCACAGAGAAAAAGAAATCGTTTGATGGAAGAGAAGACTTCGCAAATTTTCCAAGTATCTTTCAATAAAAGTTCACTGTGCAACTATTCCATCCTTTGCTCCTTAACAAAAAAAAAAAGAATGGAAAAATGTTGGAAAATGACAGTCTAGATGTCCCTCCTACCCTGTAAAAATTTTGTCCAAAAGTAACCTGAAAAGAGCCTTCATGTTCACACCAATTCCTTGACAAGTCAGGAAGTTCCTTTTTTGTTCAAAATGTACTATTTATTAATGTACTAAGTGATGGGAGGGAGAGACCAATAATAATTCTAAGAGAAATGCTAAGGGATTCAGCGTTCCTTGCAAGGGGTACAGTATGTATTTGGAAGACATCTATCTAAATATACACACACCTATTTCATTAGAAGCATTTGAGAGCCAGTACAGCCATAATCACAGCTCTCACTATCTTGTTCTCAGCAATTTTACAACCCAAGAAGATGACCCAGAGAAGATATATGCATCCCCAAGTCTCATCACCTTAAAATCACCACACCAAACCTGCAGTTTCAGTTGCCTTAACTTACTCTGTGACACTCTCACCAGCTCTGTAACATTCCAAACGCCTGATGTCACAAAACAGTCCTGGAAGGTCAAATGCCCTGCAAAGAAAAAAAGGCAGACACAGACTGGGTCATGAGGATGGAGTAGAATATGAGAGGCTATAGCAATTGGAGACTGGGATGGCTTGCTATACTGTGGCTGGATAGAAAGAAATTCTAATTTGCTTCTATCTTTTGTCTCTTTTGTGAATTGTATCTTAACCTCAGCTTTGAATCCCATTCCTCCTCCTCCTCTTTCGGTTTTAATTCAAGCCTAGTTCATGATTTCAAATCTGCATATTTACTCCCACTCTAAGATTACAAATCCTACCTTGCTTGCCCCTATATTTATTTCTCAAGAATTCCATATCAATCTACAAAGATCTTTGACTCCTGATCATTCTCTACTCATCCCCACCTTGGTGCAGAAACAGATATTGGCGGGAAAGGAGGGAAAAGGGCTTCAATGAAGTTCAAAATGGAATATAAGAATGTTGAGCATGGAATCCAACTTAGAGTAGAATGTTGAGCAGTGATTCACTCACCATTGGGCAGTGGTTTAATGTCCGCATCTCCTTGCTGGTTTGAATTGTCTGATTGTCCGGATTCTAAAACACACAAGGAAAAAAGAACTTGTCATCAATATATTCCTAGAACTAAGAATCAGAGGCATGTGGTTGACAATGTTGGGCCCTGCTTTATGGCATCATCTACTTTGCTACTTTCATACTGAATGAATGAAAAGAACTGCTCTAAAATTTATAAACTATTTCAGTTTTCCTTCACTTCACTTATAATTTTAGAATCATAGGGCTGGAAGATACCTTGGAGGTCTTTTATTTCAATTCCCTGCCCATGGCAGGAGACTTTATAACATCCAGGTCAAATGATTGTCCAATCCTTTCTAGAAAACCTCCAACAATGATGCAGCCACAACTTCAGGAGGCAAGCTGTTCCATTGGTTAATTGCTCTCATTGTCAAAAAGCTTCTCTTTTGTTCCAGATTGGATATCTCTTCAATGAGTTTCCACCCATTGCTTCTTGTCCTACCCTCAGGTACTTTGGAGAATAAGTCAACCCCCATCTTTCTGTGGCAGCCCCTCATGCACCGTAAGAAAGCTATCATGTCACCTCTAATTCATCTTTTCCTTAGGCTAGGCATAGTTTCCTTAACTGTTCCCTTAACTGTTCCTTGTATGATTTATCTTGCAGATTCCTTATCATGTTGTTGCTCTTCTCTGTATTCTTTTTAGGGTCTCAGCATCTTTTTTTGAGTGTAATTGTGATCAGAACTGGATACAGTATTCCAGGTTCACCTCACTTGTGCAAGATAAAGTGGTACTATCACTTCTTGTTATCTTGGTGCTATCCCTCTCTTGATGCAACCTAGGACTGTACTGGCTTTTTTTGGAAGCTGCCGCACACTGCTGGCTCATATTTAAGTGGTGGTTCACTAGGACACCTAGATCCCTCTCACAACTACTACTGTTGAACCAGGTACCACTTATTCTATAACTATACCTTTGACTTTACTTGCTTCAGTGCAGGACCTTACTTTTCTCACTAGTGAACCGCATCTTGTTAGCTAGAGCCCAATAATTAAGTCTGTGAATCTTGAATCTTGAGTCTATCCTGCTAAATGTTAGCAATTTCTCCCAACTTAGTATACTCTGAAAATTTGACGAGCTGTCCTTCTATCCCCTCATCTAGATCATTTATGAAGATGTTGAAGAGCACTGGGCATACTACAGAACCTTGAGGTACCCCACTGCATGCTTTCCTCCATGTGGATGTAGTTCCATGGAGGACCACATGCTGAGTGCAGTTGGTCAGCCAACTAAGAATCCATACGGTGCTGCTATTGTCTCTCCCACATTGTTCTATCTTACCAAGAAGAAGATTGTGGTCTACTTTATCAAGTGCCTTATTGAAGTCTTAAGTATATTATATCCACAGTGTTTCCCTGATCCACTAATTTAGTTACTTTATCAAAGCAGGCAGTAAGGTTTGTCTGTCATGTTCTGTTTTCAGAAAACCCATGCTGGCATCTGGTAATCACTTCGTTCCTTTTCTAGATCCTCTTAATCTGCTGCTTGATTATCTTTTCCAGAATTTTCCTGGGTATTTCCCAAATAAATAATTTGTATTTCCCAAATAAATAATTTGGGAAATATTTGATTGCCATTATTAAACACAGATTCCTGACATGCTGTTGTAAAATACAAAGATGTAGTAGACAATTCTTTATTTCATATTTTACAGGATTACAATACGGGAGTCAAGAAGGAATCCTCTCCAATACATATATAGGACATACATATAATTATTGATGTTATTTCTACTTCCATTGAAAATAACAGAAAAGCTTAGCAAGTATGACATTTTGCTTTATTTATTATAAACCATACGGAACAATATATTTTTGTTCAAACAATAATCTTTTGTTAAAACATATAAATTTTAAAAAATGACTGATATTTCGCCTGTCCTTTTATAATATCCCCAAATCCATCTCTTGAAGCAAGCCATTTTACCTGCTTTTCAATCTTGTCCTGTAAGTATTTTTGCCCTATGGGACTGTTCCAGCTTACATATTATGAGCACATTGTGCAATCTGTAAGGCTAGTATTAAAACTGAGCAAATTTGATATTTTGTTTTTTGTGCTGATGGCACCATGATATTTAAATGAGTCATATCATGATTCTTCCTTAGACAAGAGTTCAAACTTTATAGGAAATAAAATTCTGGTTTATGGCAGATTTCACTGGACAAATAAAAATCTGGAGGCCATATAGCTGAAGGATCAGTTTATAATCCATTTCAAAATATAACAGAGTAAAACAGAAATATTGTTCTATGACAAATGAATGTAACCCACTAAAGAGAATCTTATTAAAGATTGAAAACCAAATTATATGTAGAAAAGTCTAAGAATTTAAATCCTGGTTGTTGTATCATTTAATTTGTAATATCAAAAAAGAGAGAATTGCACATGTGGAAATGGGCATTTTAATCTTACTTCTCTACCTTTCTTAATTAAAAAAGTATCTCCTATGTTATCAAGACTGTCATTTGACCAGATCCATACATGCAGAGTTCAAGCTAACTACTTTATTATGTTTGAGTCTGACTATAATGCAAGAATTTCCCCAGTCTGGCAGTCTACTCCTGGGAACAATTAGATAAGGCTCCAAGAAACTTCATATGGATTGGACCTAGCACTTTTGTAGTTGCCTGGTTATTCTAGGCTATCTCTGTGCTTGACCTCTCCTCCCTGCCAGGCTGTGTGCTTCCTAATGTGAACATCTGAGAATTTAGGAGATAGAGTTGGGAGTGGAATAGAGAACTGGCACCATGTTTCCTTTGAAGCAGTCACTTCATTCTGTCTAATGGTCTTTTTAAAATCATGGTTTTGTGAATAAGCCACAATGCCTAGGCATAAAGCCAGCCTGTATATGATGGTAGCAAACTCATTCCTTTAATAGCAGGCCTGCATGAATCAAGTAAAAGAGAGGGGGGAGGAAAATCCAATTTAAAGAACAATTTGGTTATGCTACCTTTTCTTCCTTTTCATACTATCTCAGCAGTTTGTTCTCTGAAGGGATTCTCCCCACAATCCCAGCCAGATTCAGATACAAGTTTGGTTAGAAGAAAATCTTGATTATTCAGGATAGTTTGAAGAAAAAGTTAATGTTTTATTCTACAAAAGAATGGTAGACAGCTGAATACTGTATATCCCCTCTAACTGCAGAAGAAAAAGGATTACCTCTGTGCTCTCAGAATAATCGCCTGCAAATATGGAAGCAACTCCATTATTTCCTTCAGCTTCCTTTGCTATTTTTGCCACACTGAAGAGATTCCTGATTTTGCACTCATAAAACCTTTAGCAGCTTTTCCTTTAGTTACATACAGTTCCTCAAGGCCATATTATGGCTTAAATATGGCTCTTCCTGAAGTATTATCATCTAATATCTCTGCTCCTTCCGTCGGGACTTGAAGACGGCTTTTCAAACAAATAGGCTGAGACTGATTCCGGGCTTTATTATTTACTACTAATTAATTATTTGGATTAAATTATGATTTTATTGTACTTGTTTCTTAACTTGTGTTCGCCGCCCTGAGTCCTTCGGGAGATTGGCGGCATATAAATACATGTAATAAATAAATAAATAAATAAATAATAACTCTCAGACCTGAAAAGGTCCTGAACACTGCTTGTCCAACCCTATGTACCTCTGCTGAAATATCCTACAAGCACATTAACCTGTTAAATTTGGAAGACAAATGCTTGACTATAATAAACATGTGGTATGAATGCCTATATTTAAACTATATTTAGTCTAATGAAGAAAAGGGCAAGGAGTGACATGATAGCAGTCTTCCAATATCTAAGGTGGTGTCATGAAAAAGAGGGGCTCAACCTATTCTCCAAAGAACCTGAGGGCAGGACAAGAAGTAACCGATGGAAACTTATCAAAGAGAGATCCAACATAGAAATAAGGAGAAATTTCCTGACAATAAGAAGAATTAATCAGCATGACTTCTGTGTTACATGGATAAATATTACCAAGCAACCTTTTATGATTCTGATAAGCATCATAAAGTTTAAGAAATGCTTTGAGTACTATATGTATGGTATATATTGATACTACATATAAAAATGGTACACAGGATTGGAAAGATCGGAAATAATTTTCTGATAAAGACAGGATCCTAACAATGACTTTGCATAACTCTATGCATGTGCATACTCAAAATATTGTGTACAATATTAGGTTGTGTCACTGAACTGAAAAGAAATGCCAGAAAAACAACCAAAATAATTAACAGGATGGAGCAATTAGTCCTCAACTTACATCCACTTCTTTAATAATGATTCGAAGTTATGATGGCCTTGAAAAAAATGCTTTATGACCTGTACTTGCAGTTAAGGCCACCATCCACCCATGGTCATGTGATCGGTTTGATTGCTTGGTAACCAGCTTGCATTTGACTAGTTGCAGCATCCTGTGTCACATGACTATGATTGACAATTACTTTTGCCAGTTTCTGGCAAAAAACATTCATTGAAAAAAGCTGAATTTGCTTAATGACCATGTGATTTGCTTAACAAGCATGTGATTAGGTTAATGACCACAGTGATTTTCTTTGCATCCACAGTATAAATGGTTGCAAAATTGTTAGCATAAGTTGAGGACTACCTGCATCTTATAAGAAAAAGTTTTAATATTTGGGTCTTCTTATCCCAAATAACAGAAACAATCTCTATGTGTAGTTATGTAGGAGGGGATCATAGTGTTCTGCATGATGTGGAGAAAGTAGGGAGTCAGAACTTTTAAGCCCATTAACATTAGAATTCATGAGATCATCTAAACTTTGATATTGGGATATTTAAATGAGATCAAATAAAATATTTACAGAGAAAAGTGAAACTATAAAACATATTAGTAAAATGTATCATTTTGATAGCTTAAAAATGGATTTGCAGAGGGATACTGCTAATGGTAGCCACTAATTATCAAAACAATATATTATGTCCTTTGTCAGTGGTTTTAAATAGAGGTTCTGATTTGCCTGTTGTATTTGTATACATGTCCTTTTTGGAAT